GTAAGTGGCAGGGTTGGACATTCCGGAGCCTCCCTTACAATCGATGCCCTTATATACGAGCTACCTAGGTGTGTCATACTGTCTATAACACACCAAAGTGTCACTAGACACAGTTACTGTTACGTAGTGGTAGAAAGAGACATATTGTTGGGACAACATCCAGTAAGTGGCAGGGTTGGACATACCAGAGCCTCCCTTACAATCAATGCCCCATAGCCACCTAGGTGTGTCATGCTGTCTATAACACACCACAGTGTCACCAGACACAGTAACTGTTACGAAGTGGTAGAAAGAGACATATTGTTGGGACAACATCCAGTAAGTGGCAGGGTTGGACATTCCGGAGCCTCCCTCACAATCGATGCCCCATATACGAGCGACCTAGGTGTGTCATACTGTCTATAACACACCACAGTGTCACTAGACACAGTAACTGTTACGAAGTGGTAGATAGAGACATATTGTTGGGACAACATCCAGTAAGTGGCAGGGTTGGACATTCCGGAGCCTCCCTTACAATCAATGCCCCATGTATGAGCCACCTAGGTGTGTCATACTGTCTATAATACACCACAGTGTCACTAGACACAGTAACTGTTACGAAGTGGTAGATAGAGACATATTGTTGGGACAACATCCAGTAAGTGGCAGGGTTGGACATTCCGTAGCCTCCCTTACAATCAATGCCCCATGTATGAGCCACCTAGGTGTGTCATACTGTCTATAACACACCACAGTGTCACCAGACACAGTAACTGTTACGAAGTGGTAGAAAGAGACATATTGTTGGGACAACATCCAGTAAGTGGCAGGTTTGGACATTCTGGAGCCTCCCTCACAATCGATGCCCTTATATACGAGCCACCTAGGTGTGTCATACTGTCTATAACACACCACAGTGTCACCAGACACAGTAACTGTTACGAAGTGGTAGAAAGAGACATATTGTTGGGACAACATCCAGTAAGTGGCAGGGTTGGACATTCCGTAGCCTCCCTTACAATCAATGCCCCATGTATGAGCCACCTAGGTGTGTCATACTGTCTATAACACACCACAGTGTCACTAGACTCAGTAACTGTTACGAAGTGGTAGATAGAGACATATTGTTGGGACAACATCCAGTAAGTGGCAGGTTTGGACATTCTGGAGCCTCCCTCACAATCGATGCCCTTATATACGAGCCACCTAGGTGTGTCATACTGTCTATAACACACCACAGTGTCACCAGACACAGTTACTGTTACGAAGTGGTAGAAAGAGACATATTGTTGGGACAACATCCAGTAAGTGGCAGGGTTGGACATTCTGGAGCCTACCTCACAATCAATGCCCCATATATTAGCCACCTAGGTGTGTCATACTGTCTATAACACACCACAGTGTCACCAGACACAGTTACTGTTACGAAGTGGTAGAAAGAGACATATTGTTGGGACAACATCCAGTAAGTGGCAGGGTTGGACATTCTGGAGCCTACCTCACAATCAATGCCCCATATATTAGCCACCTAGGTGTGTCATACTGTCTATAACACACCACAGTGTCACCAGACACAGTAACTGTTACGAAGTGGTAGAAAGAGACATATTGTTGGGACAACATCCAGTAAGTGGCAGGGTTGGACATTCCGGAGCCTCCCTTACAATCAATGCCCCATATACGAGCGACCTAGGTGTGTCATACTGTCTATAACACACCACAGTGTCACTAGACACAGTAACTGTTACGAAGTGGTAGATAGAGACATATTGTTGGGACAACATCCAGTAAGTGGCAGGGTTGGACATTCCGGAGCCTCCCTTACAATCAATGCCCCATGTATGAGCCACCTAGGTGTGTCATACTGTCTATAACACACCACAGTGTCACTAGACACAGTAACTGTTACGAAGTGGTAGATAGAGACATATTGTTGGGACAACATCCAGTAAGTGGCAGGGTTGGACATTCCGTAGCCTCCCTTACAATCAATGCCCCATGTATGAGCCACCTAGGTGTGTCATACTGTCTATAACACACCACAGTGTCACTAGACTCAGTAACTGTTACGAAGTGGTAGATAGAGACATATTGTTGGGACAACATCCAGTAAGTGGCAGGGTTGGACATTCCGTAGCCTCCCTTACAATCAATGCCCGATGTATGAGCCACCTAGGTGTGTCATACTGTCTATAACACACCACAGTGTCACTAGACACAGTAACTGTTACGAAGTGGTAGATAGAGACATATTGTTGGGACAACATCCAGTAAGTGGCAGGGTTGGACATTCCGGAGCCTCCCTTACAATCAATGCCCCATGTATGAGCCACCTAGGTGTGTCATACTGTCTATAACACACCACAGTGTCACTAGACACAGTAACTGTTACGAAGTGGTAGAAAGAGACATATTGTTGGGACAACATCCAGTAAGTGGCAGGGTTGGACATTCTGGAGCCTACCTCACAATCAATGCCCCATATATTAGCCACCTAGGTGTGTCATACTGTCTATAACACACCACAGTGTCACCAGACACAGTAACTGTTACGAAGTGGTAGAAAGAGACATATTGTTGGGACAACATCCAGTAAGTGGCAGGGTTGGACATTCCGGAGCCTCACTCACAATCAATGCCCCATATATTAGCCACCTAGGTGTGTCATACTGTCTATAACACACCACAGTGTCACCAGACACAGTAACTGTTACGAAGTGGTAGAAAGAGACATATTGTTGGGACAACATCCAGTAAGTGGCAGGGTTGGACATTCCGGAGCCTCCCTTACAATCAATGCCCCATATACGAGCCACCTAGGTGTGTCATACTGTCTATAACACACCACAGTGTCACTAGACACAGTAACTGTTACGTAGTGGTAGAAAGAGGCATATTGTTGGGACAACATCCAGTAAGTGGCAGGGTTGGACATTCCGGAGCCTCCCTCACAATTGATGCCCCATATAGGAGCCACCTAGGTGTGACATACCGTCTATAACACACCACAGTGTCACTAGACACAGTAACTGTTACGTAGTGGTAGAAAGAGACATATTGTTGGGACAACATCCAGTAAGTGGCAGGGTTGGACATTCCGGAGCCTCCCTCACAATCGATGCCCTTATATAAGAGCCACCTAGGTGTGTCATACTGTCTATAACACACCACAGTGTCACTAGACACAGTAACTGTTACGTAGTGGTAGAAAGAGGCATATTGTTGGGACAACATCCAGTAAGTGGCAGGGTTGGACATTCCGGAGCCTCCCTCACAATCGATGCCCCATATAACGAGCCGGTGCGGCGCGTCAAATAGCCTACCCACCCTTCAATGTACCACGTTCTTATAGATATCAGCATATACCAACATTAATCGTGCAAAATGTTCAATAATCAGCCTTCTGTCAGAAGATTTTTACGATTCAAAACCTGTAATCAATTCAAGTAGTTAGTTTAGTATTCGAGGTTCATCCGACACCTGAAAAAAGTCAAAAGTTCTATATAAACATTTTTGCAAACGGTTTACTTACGGGCCAGTGACGTCATTTGTTTATTCCATCCAGTTTGTGGTATAATATCCACGCTGTTTGCTCATTATAACCTGTTTCGTTTGACAAGTACCAAGCACTTGATTGATGGTAAACTATCGCCATTTAATAAGAAAGAATTTAAGTACTATCCAAGCAAAATCAAAGTGATCTCTTGTCTGGCGTCAGGACATAGTGTTCTGTGGCGTCATGGGATAGAATCTGAGTTATTAAAGGGGCAATTATTAACCACGTCTTAAAAAATTTACAAAAAAGGAAACCGTTTTGCTTTGTATAATATAAACGTCCCTCCTAAAAAAAGACATGTTGAATGAACTATCAAAATATGTTTTTTAAATCCATGAACTCAGCTCATACCTAATTTTAGTGCACCCAACTTTGATCGTTAGGCATTGAAATAATGGAAAAAGTAAATCACAGAGTATGTCAAAGCTTTGGTTATTGCTCCGAATGTTTTGTTTGATGTTTCTGTTCCAAAACAACGTTCTAGTTGTCACGATGAATTACAACTCTCTCAGACTCGAACTGAAAGACAAATGTGCGCCAAGTGTCTAAATGAGCAATTATGCAACATGAAGATAAATGCAGCTACGGATTTCAACATATCATATGGCGGCATTCAAGCATTGTTCGTCAATCTTATAGTGTTACAAAGTATTTAGATTTAAATTTCGAAACGAAAGTTGTATATTTTTGGTTTTTAAAATAGTATAATGTCGATCCCACTGCAGTTACAGAAGTAGGAGTAATTAATGGAAGCACTATGTGTAATTTTATTGAAGCCAATAAACTAATGGGTATAAACGGGGGTTAATACAACAGCAACATATTCTAGAAGATATACATTTCAATTCAAAAACAGAAGTTTGTGCCTAAATAAATGTGACATCATCAAATAAGCACTCAAAATATAGAACTATTTTGACTTTCATTGGTTGTAACAGTAAGTACTTATACAAAATAATCAACCTACATACTATGTGAACTGAATGAAATTATTGTAAATCTAAAAATGCATGATTATTGATTATACCTGTATTTAAGGTATAACTACTGTATTAAAATTGATAGTATATTCTTAAAAGGTAATAGTCAAATGAAAAATATAAATCCAAACCATTGCTGATTGTTGGTAAAGTTTTAGTTGCAAGTCAGATAGGGTGTTAAATAACATTATTTTAGGGCATCTGCTATTCTAAAACGCTTACAGTACTAAGCCCGAATGTTTCTTATGATGAAGGTGATGAAGATAATGGGGAAACAAGTTATGTGAGTGTGATTAAAACCAATCTAGATTGAGAAAGAAAATGTTTCCCACTTACTATTACTTTGATTTCTTTGGGGGAAATTGGACAAAAACTATATAAATCAACTCATTAAAAAATCTTTGGTCGCATTAAAAATAGAAGCTGGAGCCAAAAAACAAAATACAATTCAAAAAGCAAAATAAAACGCCAAAAATACCTACAGTGGAGGAACTCTTCGAAGCTTTTGTGGGTGAGAAGTTACCCCTACTCTTACTCACGACAGAGCTCTCTTCAGGGGTCGTAGGTAGAATTGAGGGATGGCGCAGGTCATGGACCTTGGTCTTGAGGTCACCGACTGTCTGCAGCAGAGTGTCGTGGTCGGCCCTCAGAGAGGTCAGCTGTGTCCGGACTAGCTCAACGTCGGTGTTGAGCAGGGAGATCATCTCGGTCCGGAACTCTTTGAACATCTGCACCATCGCGTCTCTAGTGAGGACCTCGGCCCCAGGACCTCCTGGTACGTCCGACACCACTTCCATCGCACGGAACGCCTGCAACCGCAGAACCGCTGGAACGGGGACGTTTTCGGAGAGTTTAGAGACACGAGATCGCGAACTCGAGCGGTGCGATCGTCGAGACTCCGCGGCTATACTGACACGATATAAATAGAGCGAGCGCGCGCTCGACACGACACGACAACAACACGGTGAGGGACTCGTGACCCAATAAAAGGGCGTGAGAATCTGCAGACGAGCGAAGTAAGCGACACACCAGCTGGGTGGTTGCCAACACCGCTGAGTTTAGCTCGAGGTTTGGACATCGTCACCTCCTCTCTCCACTCACGGCATTCCTCAGGGAAACATACTAGTACTTAGAGGGATATAATATTGTGTTGCACGTATTGACTTGACCTAGCAGGTCTAGGCCTCAAATAAACTAGCCTATTTAGATAAATATGTTCAACCCTATTTGTCGTTGAGATATTATGTTTCTGGCATTGGAATTTTGAATGTAAAATGAATTTAAAATGTAAAAATTGCAGTTTAATTTAGGCGTTTGCACCTCTTTACACAACAACGAAGGAAGAAAATGCAATATTATAGTTCGAATTGGGAAGAATACACTGCCAGTAATTAAAAGTGGTGGTCTAAGCTACTTTTGCATTACTACAAGTCGCAGGCACAAGTCGCGGCAACATGTCGAGGCCATGTCGAGACACATGTCGCACGTAGTTTGTCATGCCGTTTCCATTCCAGGCATGGGACACAAGTCCCACAACTACGACTGGCAGACATAAAAGCCTCTGCTTTTTTATTAAGGCTGGTGCATACAATGAACTTAGAAGAAAAAGGCGAAAACGATCTAGATGGTAGAAGAAAAAGACGAAAACGATCTAGATGGTGGATCAGATGCCTTTAATTCATTGATGAGAGATTTGCGCGTACAAAGTGGCTTCAAACATTTCCTCCTACGAAATCGACGAAATTTCAGGTTATGTTCACCTGTCATCTATGAGCATGAGGTGGTTCGGAGGACCTGAGCATGTGCGAGTTGCAGGCATATGTGCCCGGCTTTTTTTATTCCAAATGGGCACAATTTCAACTGGAATAAAGTGTGCAGTGGTGAGGTTGAGGTAGTATTTTAACTACTATTAACCAGTGTAGAAAGTAACTTTCAATTACAGGCCTGCCTTAGGGGTATGCCTCATAGATGTATAAAGCAATTCTTTTTATCATTGGATATAAAATATGGACGTACACGATCGGGGGACATTTAACTGCGAAGCATTCGTTTTGGCTTGAGACTGTCAGATATTGTATTTGCGAAGATTTATACATGTATTCCTATACAGTAATAGTTTCGCCAACATATCTGGAAAAGTCCACACTAAATATGCAAACCAACTTCTGTTTTGAATATAAGAAGGATTTAACTTAATCCCCATATGTAGAACGGGGGGGGGGGTTAGCTAGTACTCAATATATTATATTAAGACCAACTGTAAGACTATTCCAAAAAAGGTATAAAACCAAAAATATTCAAAGGAACTGAAAGGGGTTTGGGAATTCAACATCTAATCAGCAACTATTTTGATATCAAAAAAGAAAACACAATGTGTGCAGTGAAACCTAAATCCTTAAACAATTTCCTAATCAAGAAATCACACTCGCTTAAGATTTTAGGTATATCTATATCGCAATCATTTATTTGTTTTAATTTTAGTAAACACAAAGTATTATTATAAAAAAATATATAAAAATCCCATTGAGTTGTAGAGTCTATAAAGTAAATGCAAGGTTAGAGCCTGCAATACAAGGAGGAAAAAGGTCTTATAAAAGTTGATTACTCGATCAATTTCTCACCCAAGTTAAACCTCAATGCAATCTGAAATTCCGTAAACATTAACTATGTATTGTAATTATTGTCTCAAGCCTCCTCGCTTCTAGGTCAACTGACAATACTACTTCCCATTAGACTCTCTTATAACTTGTGTATTTTTTATGTCCTTTCTTTTATGAGAACGCATTGGGGCTAAACGATTAACAAAAATTATGTTTGTTGTATAAGGTCTTGCCATAGTTAAAGCCAAAGAGTAGTAGGGAATGTTTAAAGAAAAAGAACAAAAAAAACCAATTCATTAAGGATTCACCGTAATCCTCTTTCAATGTTGTGTAAGATATTACTGTAAAGGTCACTAAGGTCGAATCGATCCTTGAATGTCACTAATGGCAGTTCTCTCACTGACCAGCGATCGACAACCTACACAGAACATCAACTATTCATCCGAATCCCTCTGAGTACACTCGGTGTTTGATGTTATTGATCAACTGATATAGAGTGAAGCAATCGTATATGACATTTCCGATACACAAACAAGTAAAAATGTGGTGAAAATAAATTAAAAGCTTTTCTACAAGGTAAACAGCTCATGTAGTTTTAAAAATTCCATATTTGATAAGACTTGAAAAATGATTTGTCGTCAGTTAAATTATGAATTTGCTATATTTTAGATGGACGCATTAAAAAAATTAATGATCGACTGAAACCGAAGTGAAGGTCGAATTTATGGTCCAATTACTTTGTCAAAATATTACGAAAGTTAATTGTAACCGAAAAAGGTTTAATATGAATTAATAAAGCTTACTTTAAATATTGTTTTCAAATTAACATATTTGGTAGGTGTCTCTTGTTTTCTCATCCCGTGAGATTCTCGCATCCTCGTAGTTTTTAACTTAAAGGGCCTAATAGTTTAGCTGGTCCTCTAAAATTTTTCAACTACTTATATCGATTTTTTTTGTAGTGGTCCAAGTTAAGATGCCCTAAACATTATGTATTGCAGTACAATTTCGAATGCACACTATTCTATATTCAGTAGGCCTATACATGACGTGTAAATGCTGTGTCCTATCCCAGTACCGTGCTGTAACCTGCGCTCTGTATACCCCACTACGCGGACGGCAGTGATATTTTAGACTGTTGTGACGGTTTATAAAGCTCTTAGTGCTGCTGTTTGGTGTGTAGCCAAGGTTAACAGCGTAAATAAGCGATGTTTTTGAGTAAACAGCCCCAAGCCTCCCTACAAGCCCGCTGCACCGTGCTCAAGAGAGTCTTGTGTATATGTCACTGTACATTGTACAATGTGGATGAGACTGTTAGAATTTATTAGAATTTGGTCACAGTGTTAATATAAATATTGACAGTCAGTGTTAAATTTTTGTTTGTTTTTTTTCAGACCAATATGATATGGAATATGAAAATTAATTTTGTCTGCAAGAGGGTTTCAAAAGCCAAATTTTTGTTGAGAAAATTAAAATGTATTGTTACTGTAGATGTATTGATAACAGTGTATTTTGCTTTTGTTCACTGCCATTTGTTGTATAGTATTTCTGTTTTGGGAACTGATAATAATGTAAAAAATTGTTTAAGCTACAAAAATGAGCAATTAGAGTTATGGCAGGAGCACATCACCGTGAACACTTCAAACTTCTGTTTAAAAGATTCAAAGTTCTTACTGTCACTTCAATGCTTGTTCTTGAAAGTCTTATGAATGTTAAGTTAAACTCAAACGTTATTCCTACAAACAAAATAGTTCATAGTCATCACACAAGAAATAATAATAATTTTAGGATAAACCAACGTAATTATCAGAGCACAATTGTTAGTTCTTTTGAGTCAGGAATAAGACTGTTCAATATGTTACCACCTCGTCTTAAAAGTTTAGAACCTGTAGATATTAAGAAACGGTTGAAATATATTTTGTTGCAGCTTAGTGTATATTCTTTGAATGAATTCATTGAAAATTGTAAATCAATGATGCATCTTATTTGTAAACAATTTGTTTTACAGTATTTTTTAAGTTGTCATACATTGTAAATGTGTTGTGACAATAAATGATTTGACTTTGACTTATACATTGTTGCAGATTACTACGTAGCGATTCGAAAAAGTTTTTTCTTTTCAATGCAGTAAAATGCTGTATTCATTCATATGGTGTAATTTCATAATTAAATAAAGTGCGCCGCATGTATCTTGCTCGTATGTAAACAACAAATAGAGCTGTGTAAAGATTAGTTGTAAATAACAAATGCATACCAAGATATAATGCGATGCAGTATTTAATTACTCATTTGACTGAAATATTCTAAAAGTAATAAGTCCATTTAAGGTAATATATGGACATAATAAATTTCGGAAATGTTCTATTTTAGTTATCTTATTAAACATCCTTTATTGGACACAGTTTCTCTGAATATGAAAAAATACCCCCGCCGCAGCAAACCTGCCGACTAAGCGAATTTCCATTTGTCTGAATTGATTTTCAGTTAAATATATTTTAATAACATTATGTTTAACGAGTACCTAGGTTTGCTGCTACAAGGAAACTAATAAAGTGTGTTTTTGAGTAAAATATTGATAGCTTAGTACAAAATAAATAAATTTGCCAAGTTTGATCAAAATATATTCATAAACAAGCAAACTACAACATTTGACAATATCTATCTATCTATACTATTATAAATAAAAAAGAGGTGGTTGCTGTATGTGTGTATGTGTGTATGGGAAAAGTAAACTCGAAAAATACTGGTCGGATTGGGCTGAAATTTGGCATGATGATAGCTCACATTCCCGATTAACATATAGGCATATTCTTATTTCAAAAATCCTTTCGGGCTCCGCCCCAGTGGCTCTGGAGTTTCCCATGTTAACCTTATGAGAAATGGAATTATTGAATCTTAACAGCTGTTTCAATTAAACAAGTTGGTTCTGTTCTATGATGTTCAATAGCATTAAAGTTACAAGGATTACCAACAGGGTGCAGCACTATTATTTCTTTTACATTTATGACAACAGCTAATTTGCAACCAAAAGGTGAGTGAGCGTAGCGAACGAACTTCAACCTGGAGGCGAGTTACGATTCTCCATAAGAATAACATGGGAATTTTAAATTTACAATTTTTTTAATTTTCTCCGTTACTAATAATCGAACAAAAATACTTTTATATACTAAATTATTTGTTTTTTTAAGCTCTTTAAAAAGGTCTAAAGAGAAATTGGGAAATTTTGTGTTTTGAGGGTCAAAAGTGAGAAAAACCAATTTTTACCCCATAAAACCCCCCGTAAAGCCCCGTTCCCATGGTCCGATCGTGCTGGTTCGCGAACTCATTCAAGTTTATCCCGCTTTACACCTTTAAACCAAATTTCATCAAAATCGGACAAA